GAATAATCAATCAAGAGAGATTAATTGAAAAATTCATTGGTTATTAACTACAATACAATATTGCACAACTATACAATAGAATTAGATATATCTGAATATTCTAATTTTTACGAAAACTATATAAAACTGATCAAACTTTTCTTCTAATCTTTTCATCAAATTTAAGACCATATTCATATTAATTATACTTGTTAATAAGTATATATTTAGACTCTTCTGGGCTTATTAAAATACAGAATCGTATTTTTACAAATCTGCTTAAAACCTATGATTGTTTTCCTTCATTTTAAATGAAATTAGATACCTTATTTTCTCCTTCTTTTTTGATTTTGATTTTTAAATACATTTTACTTCCAAAGCTATATTAATTTCCTTTACATATAAATTAGGTTGCTTTTTCTTGTTAAGATTGCATTAGAAGGTATTTGTGTTGCCTTTTCTCATCAATTACTTTTTATTTATTGTTTCATCCTATAAAATCATTAAATTAATTAAAAACTATTCATATTATTTTACTTATCATTGGTTCTAATCGACAACTTTTGATTGATCTTACTAAACATTGTACCATCCAAGTTTGGATAGGATCTGTTGTTTTTTTTAAGTTGAGGTATATGATTCAACTAAATCTGAACCTTTCCAAGTAAACGGTAAATATAATTTTAGGGTTACTATGCTATCAAGATTCAAGATGCCATTTGAATTTGTTCTCATCTTAATGCATATTTTGAATTTCTCATTCTGACTCGATCCAATTATAGCTGCAAATGAGAAATTGGTGATGTTACTCTAGTCAAAATATAGCTTTGGTATAGATCTGGTTTGCTTCATAAATAGATTGCCTAATATTCAAACACCTTGAATGAAACTTTAAACTTTTTCTCATATTTCTCCTAAATCATATATTTATAGCATTTTAGCAATAAAAATTGCGATAAACAAATACATTAATTTTTAATAATTATGATTGACTGCTGCTTTATTGTTATAATATGAGTGGTTGAAAGCCACTTAAGCATATATTTGAAAGTTGCCATACAAATCAGGGAGTAACTTAGGAATACTGCACTTATTGTAGATCCAATTCTTCCTTTTGATTTATTAAATGGTTGATTAACAAGATATATAATCTTTTAATGGAATTTGATATGAAAAAATATTGGTAAAATATGTATCTAAATGAATTTGTTATTTTTCTTAAATTTATATAGAATATGCAATTAATTTTATTAAAGAGATCTAAGTATTAAGTGGTAAGTCGAGTTATATGATTTCGTTATAAAATTGACAAAATATTATAGATTTTTTTGGTATAGTTTAATTACGTATAAATTATTTAAATTTTATTAACGAATACATATTGTATATTTAAATCATATCTCTAAGATAATATTTTTTACAATTTTATATTTCAATATTAACTTATAATATATTAATAGGATATTAGTTGAATGTGATTGATATTATATATTATGAGAATTAAGTATATAAAATAATTATTTATTTTAATTGTTTATACTTAAATGGATATGTTTAAGTGTAAATATGTTGCTCATGAAAATGAAGAAATTATTGGGTTTTGTTTGAATTGTGATTGTTAAAATACAACTCAATATTGTTATGAATGTTTAAATACTACACATTCACAACATTTCAATGATTGTATTCGATTCACAAAAATGATCTAATTTATGACAGAATGGACACAAGTGAACAATCAATTAAGGAAATAATTCAAAGATGTTTAAACACAATTATAGAACTATTTTGAATAGATTTTTAAAAAAATGGATTAAGAAATTAAAATATTAGAAAATATGACTCGCCAGCTTTAGAACAAAGAGTATTTGGCTTTGAAGTCATAAATACATATAATATAATAGTTTTACTCAAAGGAAAAAGAAATATGTAAATGTATCTTTTTCATATATATTAATAATAGAATAACAAATAATAGAATTGAATAATGTTCTTGATACATTAAAAAAGATGTTACCACATTAAACTAATGTGGAAGAATTATTAGATTCTGATTATCAAAAAGATACTAATGTGAAACATATTAATTAGTAGACTAAAGCTAAAAACAACTAAATCAATTTTGAAAAGGCTGAAAGATTATTAAATGAAGGTATTATCGATTTCATTTCGTAATAGGAGTGGCCTTAAGAAATTTAAATAAATATTAGGAAGCACTTGAATGTTTCGATAAAGCTATTTCCATAAATCCTAAATATGATAGGGCATGGAATAATAAGGGTATCTAATGTGACACATTATTATTGTTTAGGCTTTGCATTAAAAAGTCTAAATAAGTATTAGGAAGCAATTGAATGTTTCGATAAAGCTATTTCCATAAA